CTTTAAATTAAAATTTACTAGATAGATAATTAACCAAAAATACACATAAATATTATTCTAGTGTTGGTAAGTATACATACCTATCTACTTTGTTATTTATAATTATATATGTATTTATATTAAGGGAAGGCTTTATCCGATGAATATAGTTATGTCAATGCCTGCAAACTTAATGATGAATTATTAGCTCTTCCGGTTCTAGTCGCCAAAAATCCTTTTAGGTATTAACATGTAGTCCATAAAGGAGTAAATGTTAAACATTTAAACTCAATCGAAGGGTCTCCCTTTTCAAAATTGATAATTAATAACCAAATATACCTACCTTTAAAAATTATTGATTTTAATTCATTTATATAGACAACTGACATACATAGACTTTAGGTGGTAAAAGGCAATAAAAAACTGCACAAAAATTTTGGTATGCAAATGTCTATTGCTTTGGATACTTTGACGAAGCCGGGGTTGCAAACACAACCTACCAAATTTTGATCAGACGAACAACGGACGGTATCATATTCAGAAGGGTTGCAAGTCTCAGGGCATGACCTCCCACAAGTGGTATATCGTGAATTTTTACCACAGGGAAAGCAAGAAGTTTCTACAAAATAAAAACTATTTTTTTACTTTTTAATCCTTAATAAGTTTAAACTTAATAAACTTTTATGATTTAGAAATTTTAAAAAAATTCCTGTTTCTAAAAGCGCATTTGAAACTCAAAAATCTAAATTCTAACATTAACTTTACAAATATTTTCGACTTGAAATAAAATTTTTAAAACAGTCACCCTTATTTAATTTCTTTACTTTAGAAATCTATTTTTGGTAAGTAGGTACATCAAATAGGAGAAGTTTTCAATTTGATTAAAACCTGACTTCGTGAAAATTTATTAATTTCCATAATATATATATATAATAAACGATAGCTTTAATTCTCTCATTTTATAATTAAACAGAAAAAGTATATAGTTTCTTTTTGTTGTGTGCTTAAACTCATAAAATTATGGTAGGAAAAGACAACACGGACGAATTGATCGATTTGGGTTATTTTTGCAGCGTATTTGAAATTAACATCAAGAAGGGTGTTGTAAGTTACAGTTTTACCAAATTGCGAAAACTTTACCGCACTGTTAAGGCCTTTTTTTTAATATCCTTTAACTTTGTTACTTATTATATGCAACTCTTACGTTCTTCTATAAATGGTGTTAAAAATGGACACAGACATTCTGGTATGCATTGATCTGTATTATCCGATATTCTGACGAAGCCTTCTTTGCAAACACACCCCTTCTTACAATACATTGGACAAATTTTCGATTCACCAGCAGGAATGCATTTTTTTTCGGTGCAAGTGTTGGCGCAATTCGTTATTTCTTCAAATTTGCCGCAACAAAATTCGTCGTCTACAATGAATTTTTTTCAGAAGTAACATATATGATTAAGGCAGCCTTATGTACTTATTCTAATTAATTTTAAATTATAAATTTTTATAGATAATTAGTTTTAAAATATTATATAACTTTTGGTACTCAACACTTAAAAGATAATCCAGCCGTGATCTCATAAAAAGCAACATTTAATATACACGTCATGTTTAGAATTAAATCATGGTAATTTCAAAAATCAATTTTATAAATTTTCATGATAAATATAACGGCATTATTCGATAATTTCAAAAATCAACTTTTCCATTTCTGTGCTTTACGGATATTGTATTTATAAAAAAAATATGGTGCACTAATATTATCAAGGTTTTCTTTTACGAACTTTGAAGTACAAATTTATTTAGTTGCTAATTTTGCTAATCACAAATTGGCTAGACTACAAAATGAAACTTTCAAGTATGGCAACGTAATTTCTTTTAGAGAATTGATTAAACATTTCTCAAATACATAATTTAAGTTATAATATATATATTATAGGATTACCTGCATTGCATGAAATTAAGAAAGCTGTCATCGTTATTACAATTCTTGTTATGATATACATGTTGATATTTAATGTTCAATACTTTACATATAAAACTGCAATAGTTGATATTTATTTAAAAAATACGTAGAATCAGATGGAAAAACAAAATTTAATTGCTGACATTTCCGTCGAGATTAAATAAATTACCGTTAGAACTAATATTTAAAATATAAAAGAACACGTACTGGCGAATGTTTAAAAGAAAAGCATGATTATTGAATTTAATTTAGCAATTTTGTTAACGTTGTTTAAAAATAACACTTAGTTTTAGTTATCTATGGGAATCATGTCTTAATTACTTAATTTGAATCTTCATTTTTAATTAAAATAATAAAAATATACAAGTTCGGAGTTTATTATTGTCAAATTTATAATAGATATGACGGGGAAAATTGTTAAAATCAGCGGCTAATTTGAGAAGAATGGATATAAATGGGGTCAAAGGTTTTTGAATTGTCTACAAGTTATATGTTTATAAATACATTTGTAAAGCGAAATATTTGTGGTTTTATAATAATATACATGGGTGTCTGGGACTTATTCATGTTATTCAAGGTTTTTGTAAAATAACACGTTTTGAAAATTTAAATGCATACATAATTTGTTTACTGTGAAGACACAGTGCAAAAATTTATTTCTTTATTGCTGGTAAACAGAAGATACAGAGATGTCTAGAAAAGAAACGGGAAGAGAGCACGGAAATATGGACAGAGCACTTCTGGTACACATGCATTGACCTTTCTAGACAATCTGACAAGACCATCCCTGCAATCACATTTTCGTACGCAAACAGCTGGGCAAACCATTTCGCTATCTCTAAGATCGCAAGTTTTGGGACAAAGGCTTCCACATTCGTTCAAGAATTCGTTATAACCACATGGAAACAATTGCGCATCTAAAATTAAATTACTTTTCTTTTTTTTTTTCGTTTTTGTATTAACAGGAAAATGGGCACGTGGCAGTTAAAAAAGGTCTGAGTAACTTTTAGTCGGTTCCTTTTTTGTAAAGAATAAGACTCCTTACAACGGAGGAAGTAAGTACATCTTGTATAGAAAATCGACTTTTTGATTTGAATAAAAATGGAATTTGAAAATAATAAAAATGCGATTTATTTAGTCAAAACGGAAGCGTAACTCCACTAAGATCATAAAATAAAAATTACCCATTTCGTTTTTTTAACTGCAATCAATCCCAATGTCAGATTTTTTTGTTTTTTGCAAAAATAGTTAGTAACAATTTGATTTTTCACAATATATTCCTTTTGATAAACTATCGATGCAATCTAATTTATAGACAATAATTATAAATAATAAATTTATACTCGAAATGAATTTCGAAGGCTTTCCTAAAATTTTTCGATTTTTATCTTCGGGTTGCTTTTAGGTGGTGGTGGAGTGATGGAGGCGCAAAGTATAAGGTTGAAACCCCAAAATTTAAAAAAAAAATAATACACCTCCTGACCTTACCCTAACGAAATCTAACCCATTCTTATAACTTATTAAAATTATTTTGTTTGGAACACCAAAACAGAAGAAAAAACCATTTCAAAAACTTATTAGGATTGGGTTACGTTACGTTGGTTTATTTTTCAAATTTTGAATATTTCATGTACACCCCTTGCGTTTCCACCCTTCAGCTTTCACTTAAGAATACTCGTTTCTACTAATTTCACCTCTTCTGCAGTTCCTTCATCTAAATAATCACTATTTCCAACCTTCACATTCATACCCTACGTCTCCACTTCTTCATCCCCTCTTGCAAGCACTTGTTTGGTGTTCTACAAAGTCATTTTTACCCTATGTACAGTTTGCAACGGCTTTTAAAATTTCAGAAATATGAAATTCAGTTTAGTTCTTCAATAAAACAGTATTATGGTTTTTGACTTTTGTTATTTTTAAAATGTTCAGTAAGCAATTAAACAGGTAAATGCAGTAAGTAACTATGTATATAAAAAAAACATTACCTGCTACACAAACAGATGCTGCAATAACTACTATTAAAAAAATTGCTATCGTTACCTTCATTTTCAACTTAATGTAACGAAATGCTTAACGTAACTGATCAAAGTAGAATTTATTGACCCAAGCAAACGTGCTTCGAACAAGATAATTCGAAAAACTTGAAATATTTTTGTATCTTCGGAGCATTTCCTATGCTAACATTAAAAACTATTAACATATTTCTAGATAATTAAACTTGTATTGATAATTAGATAATAAGTTCACCACGTCTGTTTTTCTAACAAAATTTTTGTTTAACAAATCTGCATGTATCTTTTTGATATTGTTTTTATAAAAAAATTGTTGATTAAATTATTACTTTATAACAAATGATTCACTTAAAATATAATGTAATCATAAAATAATCATTTATGACTAGTTTATTAATTAATAAGGAGGATAAAATAGTAAAAAGTATTCAGTTCAATATTTTGAAATTACAACAGCTTTTTGTTTTTATGAAATTGCTTAGAATTATTTAAATTGAGAAAATTTGAACAAATACGTATTGTAATACACAAATAAAACAATGTACAAACCTTCAAAGTTATCGCAAAACTATTTGAACTAATTTTGTGTAATTTCTCTTCAAATAGAAGAAATGCGGAAATATAACAACAAGATAACCAGAAAAGGTTAAATAAGATATAAAGCTATAAAGTGGGAAATAATTAGGAAGTGTAGAGCAGCAGTGGATTGATAGGATGTGTAAAGAAGTAGAAGAAAAGTTTGAAGCAAATAAAATGGATGATACATATAATATAGTACAATTAAAAGGAATTTTAGAGAAATAGGGTACAGTAGTAAAAACATAAGAAATGTGGCAGGAGTCTTTTGATTTTGGTAGAAAATGAGGAAAAGATAGATGGTTGGAAAAAATATTAAGAGAACTTATACGCAGATTAAGAGTTATTAGTTAGATGTGTAAAGAAGAAAAATAGTGTGGAGATAGGTGAGCTGGGACATCCCATAATGAGAGAAGAGTTTGATTTACAATTAGTATTAAAGAATAATAAGGAACTGGGTGCATATGAGATACAGGAGGAATTTCTAAATCATGCAGGCTAAGGATAGAGAACGTATGTTTAGACTACTTAGCCGCATATACGAGACGGGGAAAGTCCCGGAAGACTATAAACGGAACATGGTAGTAACCATATNGCCTGACCAAGAAAAACAAGGTTTTTAAAATTTTTTTTTTTTTATTTCTCAACATAATCTCCTCCAAGGCTGATACATTTCTCATAGCGGTGTTCCAATGGTTGGAAAAAATATTAAGAGAACTTATACGCAGATTAAGAGTTATTAGTTAGATGTGTAAAGAAGAAAAATAGTGTGGAGATAGGTGAGCTGGGACATCCCATAATGAGAGAAGAGTTTGATTTACAATTAGTATTAAAGAATAATAAGGAACTGGGTGCATATGAGATACAGGAGGAATTTCTAAATCATGCAGGCTAAGGATAGAGAACGTATGTTTAGACTACTTAGCCGCATATACGAGACGGGGAAAGTCCCGGAAGACTATAAACGGAACATGGTAGTAACCATATGAAAAAAGAGAGACGCGGATAGATTGGAGAAAATTAGAATAATTAATTTAACTTCCCATGTGTCAAAAATCTTAACTACAAAGAAGGATGAAAAAATGCAGAAAAACTATTAAGAGAAGGCCAATTTGGATTTAGAAGAAATAGAGGAACGTGAAAGGTAATTTTAGCTTTATGGGTAACAATAAACAAAACGATAGAAAAGGAAAATGGTGCGTACGTATGATTCGTAGATTCAGAAAAATCTTTTAACGATGTTAAATTGAACACGTTAAATGTATTTAAAAATATAGGAACGAGTTGTATATATATTTCGGTATTTATTATTACCGAAATAGAATACCAGAAGTTTCGACGTTTATAATTGAAAAAGGATTGCATGTGGAACAAATACGACTAAATTTTATCAGCAAGATGCTAGATTGTGAAAATTGCAACACTAGTTACCTATATAGGACATGCAAGTAGAACATTTAAAGTAAGATAATAAGAACATCAAAGAATTAGGTACTTAACGAATAAACGGATATCAATAGATCTCAATTACTGAATAATTCCTTTAATTAGTAGGTACACAAGGACCAAAGACTGTTGGTAAAATTATTGCAAGTAACTTATTGTTGAAGTTTTTATTTTTTGTGGTTTACTTGTAGTTTTTTTATCTTTATTTAGACTCTGCGTAAAAACGGTTAGAATTATGATGGGAAAAAATTATTATCCGTATTTTAAATTATACATATTTTAATATATGCGTAAATGTAATTTTATCTTGTTACAATTATATTCATTAAGAAATAGCGAAAAAATTATTTTAATCAGCGATAGTTTGTATGTAAAAGAAGTTGCTAATAAATATTTCTTCATTAACAGAAGACCTCGAAATAGAACAAGCAGATTAGGGTACCAGTTATTCATTGAGGCAATTAATTTTAATTGACTGTTCATTAAAAAACGATCGAGTTCTATTTAAAACTCGTTTTAGCAGAAAATTTATAACGAACCGAATTTCGGTTACGTTTAATAATAATATACAACTTAAAATCTGTTCTTCATCAATACTATGCGAACTCTTTAAAGAATTTAACGTAAAATATTCAAATAAAATTATATAATATTTAAATATTATNACTCAACCCTCTCGTTGAAAATCCATCATCATCATCATAAGGTCGTCAGTCCTAAGACTGGTTGGACACGCACTTCCATTCTTTTCTATCCTGAGCTAATCTTCGCATTTCCTTAAAACTAGAGCAACCCACATCCTTAACTATTTACTACCTCTACCTCTCCTAACTCCTGTTTCTGCCTCTAATACGAGGGTGGATTGATAAGTTTCCGGCCTGACCAAGAAAAACAAGGTTTTTAAAATTTTTTTTTTTTTATTTCTCAACATAATCTCCTCATAAAATTATATAATATTTAAATATTATCATTATCAATAAAGTTTATACCAAATTTGTGTAATGTAATGATTCCTACGTAAAAATTTTTGTTTGCTTGTTTGTTTGTTGGTTTTTCACGTATTAACTATTCAATCGATTATCATAAAAAATTTTATACACATTGTCAGGGGTACAAAAAGGGACATAGGGTACTTCTTATCTAGAAGAAAAAATGCTGTTCCCGAGGGATAGAAAAAATTAGTTTTATTTGATAGATTTTAGGCCTTAACTATTAGATCGACCATGATAAAATTTTGTAGAGATCAGGGGTACAGAAAACGACAAGGGCTACCTCATATTCAGAAGAAAAAATGTTCCCGAGGGATAGAAAAAATTAGTTTTGTTTAGTTTTTAGGACATCAACTCGAGCGATGCCGCAGGTAAAATCTAGTAAGTAAATAAAACCAAAATACAATCAATTTTTCTGTGTTTAGATACGCATTATATAAATGCATAAAGAGTGTTTTCCTCTTTGCTCCAGTTCATGATGGATTTAATAAAAAGAGTCACTCAAATCGCTGCCCTGTTAAGTCTTAACTCCTTAATTGTTACAATAATAATAGCGATCAGTTTATATTGCAGTTAAGTACAAACAGGAGACGAGGCGCAGTTTGGTGGTATAGGAGCCTGCAAGAACCTTTAGTTAAGTGACGGAAATTCTGGTTGACTGACGCTGGCTCTTCCAAACTGGAAAATATAGACGCGATGCAGACAATTTTCTCATAACCACGATCGCGTCCAATTTTCATTTCAATTAGAATAAATAAGCAATTGTTCAGATACCTTTTGTGTTTTTATCATACGTGAATGTTGAGTTATCACGAATGTACAACGTAAGTGAAGTATAAAGAAAACTAAAAGAAAGTATTTTAAAATATAGTTTGGTCATTTATAGAATCTTTATTGCAACTAAGGTAAGAGTGCATAGACTAGGTAAATTCATTTAACATTAAAAGTGAAATTAAAAGAGATAGAATTGTAAATCATAACATTTATCATCAATAAATTTATTATGTAGGTATTTGGATTTCTCTAATTGATGTTAAATAACTTCGTATGTTCTCAGTTTCGATTCGGCTGTTTAATATCATAATTCCGTTTCAATAAAATACAAGATTAAAACATATCATTGTTTCGAAATTGAGTAATGCATTGTTTTGAAGCACATGATAATATATGACTTTTTAATTGTTGCAAGTAAGAGGGCAGAGATACTTCAGGGATAATTTGACCATTTCTTGTCATTATATTTTAACAATTAAAAATATATCGTCCCCAAAGTTTTTATCTCGTAGACCACATGCCAATTTTTTCTGTTTTCGCATTTCTAATATCGAATTGTTACAAATTCAGCAACTTAAAATGTGGCGTTGTCAGAGAATGATCCCACCATCGATCTCGAATTTTTCCATGATTAACGCATTTATCATGTATCATAAACGTTTATGTTTTAGAAATTTTTATTTCATATATAATTTATATGTTGCTGCTATCTTGTTACATTTATGAAAAACCAACAGAATTTGTAATTGATTTA